TATATATATATATATATATATATATATATATAATTTTTTTCTGTCTGTTCTTGGCTTGGCTCTCTACTCCGCTTAGAGAAATTTCTAGGCGATCAGCGTTTTAGCTACGGCCAGCTTCTCTCGGCAGTCCTTCACTTCGGAGACAACTCAACCGATGTTTCTTCTCCTCCTACCATCCAGTTAATTCTGGAAGGCAACGGGGTCTCTTTATCAGCGATACACGAGAACCCGGAAGAAAGAGAGAACGAAATTCCATGCACAGAACGGATCGTGTCCTTCAGGTATCAGCCCGCTTTGATTCTCAGCTTGGTTGCAAAGATAAATTGTGTTGTTTTTCCTTTGCGACTCTTCATTTCAAGAAAACGCCATAGATGTAGCTACCCCATTAAAGCTATAAATAGCTGGTGGAAATGATTATTCCAGACTATTCTAGATCTGGGAAAACCTAATGAGGGGCGTTGACTGTTCTGGGGTTTTAAAGCTGATTTTTGCCATGCCTAAATGGAAGCTTTGCTCTGCATGCTAAACAGCTCTTTAAAACCCCCGATAAAACGCTCAGGGTTATAGGCTGAGAGACACAGCAGCAAAGGAAGAGATATGGGGAGGGGAAAAGAAAGAAAAGTAGAATTAGCTGAAAACTTAGATCTTAAGATGGGAATCATTCTGGGTTATTAGAAATTAAAAGACGCTTGCTCCAGGGGAGGAAAGCTGTGGCAAACTTAGACACATCCTAAAAAGCAGAGACATCACCCGGCCAACAAAAATGCACGTAGCCAGGACTATGGTTTCCCCAGTTGCAATGGATGGCTGTGAAGGTTGGACCACAAGGAAGGCTGAGCGCTAAAGAATTGAGGCCTTTGAAGGATGGCGCTGGAGAAGACTTGACAGCGAGGCCATCCAAGCGGTCAGTCCCAGAGGAGATCCACCCTGACTGCTCTGTAGAAGGCCAGGTCCTGAAGAGGAAACTCAAAGCCTTTGGCCACCTGATGAGAAGGAGGAAGGACTCCCTGGAGAAGAGCCTCATGCTGGGAACGATTATGGGAGGGGCCAATCATCTCCAAGCCTTACGCCCGAGTCAATCCTGTTTTCTTAATTGTTCTTGCCTTCTGGCAGCTCTGCACATGCGCACACTGGGAACAGTCTCCCCCTGTTCCTCTGCCTCGCAGATATCAGATTCCAGAGGCGGCAAGTAACTAACAGATGGCCCTGGCCCCCTTCTCTGCCTCAGGCGCAGAGCCCTCGTCCGACCCTTCCCCAGACTCCAGGACTGGCCCAGGATCCTCCCCAACCTCCTCCCTGTCCGAATCTGCTGCCAGCTCCGCCGGCCACTGGCATGGGCCACGACAGGCAGCTTTTTTTTTTTTTAACCAAGTAATAACCACGCCGGTTGCTACAATACCCTCGATGTTGTTCAATTAACTCCAACCGCTGCTGGCAAACAGCAGGATGAGCTGATCAATGCTACATCCTTTTCTTTGTGGAAAGCTATAAATATCCAGAGAACAGCAAGGGTCGTAGTTTCAGCAGAGGAAGATTAAAGGTTTTTATTTAAACAAACACACACACACACAGACCCCTAGTTTGAGCAAGGACCTGTTAATCCTTCAGGTGACTTTTCTGCAAGTTTTGTCTGATTAGAGTTCCTGGGCCGGTTTCTCGTAGGTTGCATGAGGCAGAGGAAGCCATGAATTTGTCCCTGTCGCCTTTCCAGTTCCAGCGGACGCTTTCCAATCTGATGAAGCTTCAGATCCAAGTTAAAAGTAGACCCAGATCAGGTAAGCCGAAGCACCGAAGAAGGTTAGCCCTCCTTTAGTTCCAGGTAGAAAAATGAAACTCCCCACAGTTCCTCCGCTGAGCACGGATGGAGGGCAGGTGAGCTTCCATTCTAAAACCTGCGTTTCTTCCTCTGCAGGCAGGATTGCGCTGAAGGAGGTTCGCCTGGCCTCCGCCTGCCCCGGTTCCTCCCGGGGGGCTCCGTGGGTGGAAGAGTGTCTCTGCCCGCAGGGCTTCCAAGGCCGGTTTTGCCAGTTGTGCGCTCTGGGTTACAAACGGTCGATCCCTTGGGGGGGGCCGTTTGCAAGTTGCGTGCCTTGTGCCTGCAACCAGCACGGGAGCTGCGACCCCAATTCTGGTGAGCATAAAGTTTTTTTTCCTTCCCTTCTTCATCCCAAAGGTGGTTTTTTTTCCCCCCCCAAGAGGCAGCTGGAATTTCTGGTTTTTCTTTGAAGATGTTTTGCTTCTCATCCAAGAAGCTTCCTTGGGTTCTCCGTCTTCAGAGAAACACCAGAAAGTCCAGCTGCCTCTTGGAAAAAGCACCTTTAGGGACTCTTATCTGACCGTTCTCTAAAACAGCATTAAGAGGCTTTTGCCAGTCTGAAGGGACAAATCTCCCACTGTCCCTTTTGCAGCCTGAGAAACGAGGGAGGGTTCCTTCCTGAGCCTCTTTCTCTGCCCCTTGTGCAGCTCTGGGCCTCCCTCCCTCTCTCTCTCTCTCTCTCTCTCTCTCTCTCTCTCTCTCTCTCTCTCTCTCTGTCTTTCTATCTGTCTCTGTCTCTCCCTCCATCTCTTTCTCCCTCTCTTTCTCTTTTTCCCTCCCCTCCCTCCTCCCCTCTCTTACCTGACTGTTCTTTCAAGCTACCTGAATAGAGTTTTGGAGGTCTCAAGTTACAGATCCCTCACCTCTTCCTTTACAACCCAAGAAACTAGGGAGGGTCCCTCCCGAAGGTTTCCCTGAGTGGGCCTGTCCTTTTCTCCCCTCCCCTCTCTCTCATCTGACCGTTGCCCAGACTGCAGCCATTCCACCTCTCTCCCAGGGCCATTCTCACAAATTATGAATCTCAGGCGCAATAAAGCAGTTCAAATGACTAGGAGAATTTGGTTTATTTGGTTTATTTGGTTTACAAGAACTACGAACGGTCGAAGCACATTGGCGGTTGACAAAAGTCAGCAGAATTCTGGGTTTAGATCTGTTGTGAGCATGAAGGGATTTGAGACTGATAACACGTTTGACCCCTCCCTCCAGTTCATCTCCTACGGTTACACTTCCTAAGGTCTTTTCCTTCTGAGAAAACCTTCCTTCCTTCCCTCCTCCCCCTCCTCCTTCCACAGGCATCTGCCAATGTCTTCACAACACCGAAGGGCCCGCTTGTGAGCGATGTGCTGTGGGGTACTATGGCAACCCTTTCCTTGGCCAGCCTGATGACTGCCAACCTTGCCCGTGTCCGGGGCAAGGGCCTTGCGCAACCATGCTGGACAGCCAAGAAATTGTCTGCACGCACTGTCCCCCGGGACAGAGAGGTGGGTGGTCTCACAGCAGGGCACCATGCCCCCAGCCTCAAAGGGCAAGCAACACTGGCCCAAACACGATGCTCACCGAGTGAACTGGTGTTGTTGTGGCCCATCGGCAGCCAGCAGAGCTGGCAGCAGAGTCGGACAGGGAGGAGGTTGGGGAGGAACCTGGGCCAGTCCTGGGGGGGGGCTGAGGGAAGCTCAGACGGGGGCTCAGACAAGGGAGGCAGAGAGGGAGATAGACATCAGTGGGGCAGAGGAACAGCTGGAGCCTGTTCCCAGGGTGCCCATGCGCAGAGCTGCCAGAAGACAAGGACAACTAAGAAATCAGGGTCGACATGGGAGTAAGGCCACACCTTGGAGGCGATTGGCCCCTCCCAGAGGAAACAAAAGAGGAGCGAATGGGGAGGGGGCTTTTGCAGGAAACAATTTGTTCCTTCGAGTGGAAAGTTCTGTTTGTGACTGTAAGAGACTCTGGGCCAAGCGTTGCCTTGCCCCGCGGTTGGAAACTGGTTACCTGGCAGCTCTCCAAGCGAGATAAGGTTCGTGTGGATAAACATTCCTTTGAAAAGACTGTTTTACTAAGCCTCGCAGACCGTGAATGAAAGGAACTCACAGTCGTGTAAGTAAAAGGGTTTTTGCGGGGACCAAGGCTTCATGCTCTCTCAGGAAGGTTCTGGGTCAGAAGAGGTATATATAAGTCCTTTCACTATTGCTATTCCGATTCTTATTGCCCTGTTGCTTTGCATGTACATTGAGAGCTTCTGCACAGGAGACAAACTCCTTGTGGGTCTAACCACACTTGGCCAAGAAACTCTCCCAATTTATCATCAGCCTCCATTACCACCGAAACTGTTTCTCTTTGCGCTTCTCAGGTCGCCTCTGTGAATTATGCGACGACGGTTTCTTTGGGGACCCCCTGGGGAGGAACGGAAGTCTGCGTCCTTGCAACAGCTGCGATTGCCGTGGCAACACGGACCCCAACGCAGTGGGCAATTGTGACACACTCACCGGCCGTTGCCTGCGCTGCTTGTACAACACTGCAGGGGAGCATTGCGAGCGGTGCCAGGAGGGCTTCTTTGGGGATCCCTTGGCTGCCAACCCAGCCACCAAGTGCGCACGTAAGTCCCCCGGCTGAAGAGAACCACCCCAAAGGTTGCTAAGGTGGGGTGGGAAGGTCAGCCGCACGGCCAGTGGTGGGATTCAGAGATTTTGCTACCACCGGTTCTGTCCCCTGGGCGTGGCTTGGTGGGCGGGGCTTGGTGGGCGGGGCTTGGTGGGCATTGCAGGGGAAGAATACTGTAAAATCCCCCTCCCCTCCCCACCCCACTAACCTGCTTCCCAGCTCCGTTCCCCAGTGCAGGGCAACAGAAGAAGCCGATCAGCCGGGACTCGGGAGACGGTAAATAGATTGGTGGGGGGGGGGGGCAGCTAGAATTGGTATTTGCCAGTTCTCTGAACTACTCAAGATTTCCGCTACCGGCTCTCCAGAACTGGCTGAATGCCACCTCTGGATGAAATCAAGACCACTTTTGATCTCAAGGATATAGCAGAATAATAGAAATGGAAGGGACCCTGGAGGTCTTCTAGTCCAACCCCCTGCTCAAGCAGGAGTCCCCATACCATCCCCGAACAAAGGGTCATACAATTTCTTCTTAATAGCCTCCAGTGATGGAGCACCCACAATAGCAATAGCAATAGCAGTTAGACTTATATACCGCTTCATGGGGCTTTCAGCCCTCTCTAAGCGGTTTACAGAGTCAGCATATCGCCCCCAACAACAATCCGGGTCCTCAACCTCTGTACGTGAGCCATTCCATTGATTAAAAGTTACTTAACCATTGCCTGGCTTAGCAACGGAGATTCTGGGGTCAATCGTGGTCATAGGTTGAGGACTACCTGTATAAGAAGAGAAGAAACTATGGGAACTCAGCAAGGAGAGGAGCAACCTAGAACTCCCTTCCTGACAGTCAGAAGAATCAACCAGAGGAAGAGAAGTTGCCTCCGGAAGTTGTGGGA